TATGATCTAATTGGATCTCGATAAAAGTGCGTTGGGCAGTCCGAGTGCGCTACTGCCGCTGAGTTATTGGACTGTCGCGCGCGTAAAAGATCGGTATTTCGAAACCGATTCACGCGTTTAAGCTCGATCGCCGTAAAGATACACTCGATTGCTCGGATTTTCGACGGTGACACCGTTACGCGGAAGATGCGATACCATCGTGTCTTTTAGGTTCGGTAGAAAATTTCCGCAAGCTCGCAGTAAAGAGCAGCGCGCGGATCCGATGTAATAAACACAATTGCGCACGCGTTCCTATTAAAATTCCACCTCATTGTGCAAAGTGACCGCCGCAAGTTTACTTATATGTAACAAAAGCTGCGCAACGCGGGCGCGCAAAGAGGGCATTATGTATGCGTGTGCACTCGCTCGCACACACATGCATACACACGCGCGAGTTTTAATTGTAACGAGGCCGCTAAGCGTATGTGTGTGTATGTGCGTATGCAACTCTCTCTCTCTCTCTCGCGAATAATAGAAAAAGTGAAGGTGTACCTATGCTCGGGCGCAGGCGCATTTATACATATATAGCGAGTATTATTCCGTAAATGCGATCGGCAGCAGCTATATAGCATCGCGGGTGCGTATAAAATCGTATTGCAAAATCTGTCGAGAGAGAAGTCGATCTACACTCGCACTGCTGCGTATAGGTATTATGATACACGTTATTTCTCACGCGTCCGCATCCGATCGTCTTTGTATATAAATGTATTTGTATCGAGCGAAGAAATATTCGCGCTCGCGAGAGAACGTATAGGGTACTTTTTACGTTATATACGGAGCATAATTGCCGCGTGCAGAGCTTATGGGATTATACGCGCCTGACATTGACATTGTTTCACTTCTTTTTTTTTCTTCTTCTTCGTTCTCCATCTTTTTCTCAGCCGTACAGCGACCGCCGGTTTGATATTATTTATTACATATGGGCTCTGACACACATTACAAAATGACTCGATAAATATATACGTGTACGTCGCGTTGGCCAGTGCATATAAATACCGCGACTCGAATCAATCATAAATTCATATTATATATAGCTCGGTAATATAGCGAACGAGTGCGTGTGTGTGTGAATTCATATGTTACGAGGCATCCGCCGCGCGTGTGTGACAAGTATGTGTTTAACGTCCAGCTTGTATCCGAGCGTTAATATGAACGGTAGCAGCTAGCGATCATTTTTTTTCTTGTTCTTTTTTTCTTCGTAGTAAATCTCGAGTCGCGGAGTAGAGCCTTTGACAGTCGCGTATGAGAAAATTTCTGCTGCACGTCGGCGGATCATTCATCTTGACTAACTTGTAAAAGCTTGATTACAAGAGTCGGGAAAATAATGAAAAGAATTATTTATCATGCAGCCGCACTTTTGCGTAAAATCGATTTTCATTCAGATTATGATAAAAAGTAAAATTTTGTTATAGTCTAATCATCAATTTTATTAGCTTCGGGTACACTTTCTCTTTCGATCGAGGGGTACTGATGATTAAATTTTACAAGTTTAAAGTGAATTATTAATAATAATATTTTTTTCAATCAACCACATTCACCATTATTAATAAGAAAAAGCTCTCATCGAAAGCACAGACTGTACCAATCTTACGATAATCGAATCTTTGAACAACCTATCATCATTAAATTATGAATATAATTAAATCAGTGCGAGGTAAAAGCGTGTCTATAAGCAATTTCATACCCGCTACAGTAATTAGCGCACTTTTCACCAACTAATTTCATTATATATCTTCTCGAGCACATCGATGATGTCGTCATACGAGGAAATTCGTTCGCTTCTTTCCATTATAAAGTATGAATAGTGGCTGTGCAGTCGAATTAGCGATATTTTATACCGTATAGAGATGCTACTCTCACGTGTACATTCGACTGATTTTTCAACCTATCTCGTGAACTTTTCCAATGAAATACCCTCTTTTTCCTTTTTTTGACAAAAAATTTTCCTAATAGAAATACATGAAAATGTATATACATATTTGTTCATGTTTTGTTGTAGATATTAAGTGCATTATAATGACCTGATAATGACAATTCTATCGTTTCGAAAAATTTAGACCAGTTTTTAGTCACTTTGAATATGATAATACAACTTCAAGCCTTCACCACTAGATAGCGAGTGCCTATATTTCGAAAAACCGGCAAGTGGTAAAGTAAAAATAATTATATAAATTAGATCAATCATCGAAGTAGTTTTAATAATGTATATATAACTTTTCGCAAAACTTTGCTATTTAGTGTTAAGAGTTTTTAAATAAAGAGTTAAAGCACACAAGGCCTCCTCAGATCTCTTTTGCCCTTACGGGCTTGCATTTACGGGCAGCTACGATCAAATTCATTCAAATTCATCATTTTAATTCGTGTGACCAAGATGATACGCATGCAAAATTACTTCTTTTCGATGCGTATATTACAAAGGTACGTTGTCATCGTCATTCAATAACTCTCCATGTATAATTATGGCAAATGACAAGACTTAATTTCCAAAGTCACTCGTGCACGCGTATTTATTATTCAAATCCATGCCGCGTTCCACTTTCGATTTAGGATGAATCGACTCGATCGTATAATATCCTTACGTGTATATTGTGTGTATCGTGACCTTGGCCTATGTGCGCCACGCAGCTTTAATCGCATAGGTTTTTTGCGCGTTTTAAGGACGCAGAGATTATATTATGTGTACGCGCGTGCGTACGTAACGCGGGAAAATGAGAGAGAAAAAAAAGAGAAAAAATGAACCGAGACTGGATTTACGTGCTAATTCGGACTTTTTTCCATGCGCCGCTGCGTTTACGTAATTCGAGCGAGGTACACAACGTCGCTGCCGCGTAATAATACAACGCCGTGGTGTACGCATCATTATACGTTCGCTTCGATTTTTGAAAACGTTTATGATCTTTCCTCCGACAATTGGTCTCGACGAGCGAGTAGTATAGTACGCTTCGAGACATATTTACGTCGTACGCATGGTATTCACGCGAAAAAAAAAGAAAAGAAAAAGGCTCATTTGTCAGGTGACGAATATTTCTCGCCAAAAAAGCGAAAATTCCTCAACTTAATGCGTCCGCGTCTCTCTCGCATTTACGTAAGGATAATACACTCTCCGTCGCTCCTGTGTACGAGTGTGTGTATGCGCGCGAGTTTTCTACAACACCATCGGCCGAATCGCGAGTGCGCTCGGATTCTCGGAGCATCGAACTCGCTTTTTCGATGTGTCTGCGACGCTGTGCAATGCGAGAAACTCGCGAAAAACGGAGAGACGGAGAAAAAAAATACGTTGAATAAAAAAAAAGGAACTCTTGCGTCATTGCGCGCTCCGTAAAAGTAACGTAATACACTATATAGTTTATACCGAGCTAAACAACGAGGAAAAGAGAGTGAGTTTATGTGTATGTGTGTGTGTGGGTAAGAATCGCGACAATCCGTGCGCCGAAGCGTCTTAGCTGTGCAGCACGGAGGCGAGTGAAAATGTGTAGCTATCCTGCGCGTCATCTTCGCGCCACCGCCGCCGCCGCGGGAAAGTCCTCTCTCTCTCAGTACTATATATATGTTGCTGCACACGCGGACGTGAGTTATGTGCCGCTTGTCAAACTTTCCTCGCGGCTCGCATCGCATGCGTGAGATCGTGACGGACGATAATTGTACAATAAAGCTTCGATCGATGTACACCGTTAACAAAAAAAAAACTTTTTAATGCAGATCTACACTCAAATTTGAGCATTTTAATTGAAAATTAATGTTATTTTAGGATTATTTAGTTTAAATCTTAATTATACAAGAATTATGAATATTCAATCGTAATTAATGCCAGGCTCCACCGATAGATGGCGAGTAGCTTCATCTGTAAATCTGCAAGTGGCAAAGTAAAAATAATAATATAAGTACTTAAAGCAGTTCAGCAGGAATATACCGGCACTTTCGACAAATCGGGAGCCCTCGTACTGGATTTCCTTCCGTGGTATTTTTATATATTAACAAAAAAATTTGGAAGAATATTAAATAAAAAGTTATGTGTAATAAATAATCTTGATTCCACAACCGTCAAATTATAATTCGGCTTTGAGCTATCGAAAGAAAGTTTTCGATCGTCGCGATCACATTTGCGAAGACGAGTGATGTAGTTTATCAGACCTTTTCTCGAGGAAAAAATCATGGATCTTGAAAAAATATTAAATTTCTATCCGTATTGATTGTAGTGCGGCTACTGTCGAAAAAAAGCACTAAATAACGCTTTACACGTGTTTTCGAGACCGCTCGACTGATAAAGTCTCGTGAGGGGTGATGTACGACTGTGTCGAATCGTTTAATAATGAATTCTCGATCGCAACAATGCCGACATTATGACTTGTAATTCAGTAGTATTCGTATAATAATGCCGCATAAACTCGCGAGCTGATTGCAAATAGTGGCAGTCCATAATATACATGCTATGTATCGGCTCGATAATAAGTTACACTATTTCTTAATCTCTTCAATGATATAAACATTGTAGATCGTAAATAATGTTTATGCTCGAGTTTTTTTTATTTTCAATTACTCTACTCGAGCTCGCGCACACGAGTGTGTGTGTATGTATACAGATCGACTTTTAATGAAGCGATTAAATATCGGTTTGTATCTGACGCGCGATCCTATGGTTATATTATACTTTTCGCGTGGCAACAAAAAAACGAAACAATCACCACCGTTCGCTTATTTGCTAAACGATGCTACGCTCGTAGTAACTAATTGATGCGAATTTGCAATTTTTTTTTCGTCTATACTCTCTTTGCCTTTTAAAAATCACTACACAATGGAACGAAAAAAAATATATCGATTGGTTAGAGTAGCGTGACGACGTGTAAGTCATGAAAAGTCATGTTTCTCGATTCAATAAAGCCAGCTAGTTCGTGTCGAAGCAAAAAACGTGCCACGCTTTTATAATTCAAGCTTACGCTTATTAGTAATAGTCGCAAGGCGCAATAAGACACGAACGATTTTCTCATTAGGAGGTTGGCTGGAGAAAATTCAGAATCGTTGTACGCGATATATACACGGTATACACACACAGAAAATGGCATCAGTGAGTAAAACTCCGGAATACTTTATACGAATTTCTTCTAATAATTTTATTATAATTATAATGTACTAATTACTCTCCATGCCTCGCGTGTAAAAAAGGCACAATGGATTTTTTTAGCGCTCGTCGCGCTCGTAGTCATCGTAGATCTATCCTCGGCCAAGCCGATGTGGTCGGCACCATACGGATACTGGAATCCGTACACTCATTTGCGGACGACGACCCTACGACCCGATATTGCGCTTGAGCTTCAGGACGTGTCACCGCCGCCCTATGAGAATTTCGCGCCACCCTCGTACGAATCGCTGGCCTACTCCATCGTGCCAGGCGATCGAACAACGACCGAACCGACGACCACAACATCGACGACCGAACGATCTCAAACAGGCTGTCTCGGCGATAATTGCGTCATAAATTGATAAAAATAAATGAATATAAAAATTATAAAAAAAAAATCTCAATGCCGTGTCAAGTGCCTCCTGCTCAAGAGTGCGTGTGAAAAGCGCGGTGCAATTCGAGCGCGTTACACATCTTTCACTCTATGCTCGTAATTCATTAACGTTGAACTAGTTTTCACGAAAACGATATTTAATCAATAAATCGTTATGATTTAAAACACGTTGCGGCTTCTATTACATTGTATGTGTGTATGTATGTATGTATGCGTGAATGTGCGCGGCGATCGACTAAATGTGGGCAAGTTTTTTTTTCATACGCGCTCGAAATTACATAACGTCGCTCGCGCACGCGGAGGCACACTTATAATATGCAGCAGACACGATCGGTGAGATAATCTCGCACTCGTGTATGGTACATATAGTATTGATATTCTCTCAATACCGCACTTATTACTATGGTTTATAATTCATAAAAGTCGCAACGAATATGTAAGCTCAATTTTTTCTTAAAAGCTGCACGTGGCCAATGGAAAAGTCGCCCGATATTTAGCAGCTGCTGCTGGCCCCACGGTGCGTTGTGTATACACCAAGTCGATTTGTGTGCCAGTATTATAATGTTGTTATTACCCAACCGAACGAAAAACCAACGGAGGCGGGGTGGGGACTGCACAGCAAGAAAATACATGCATAAATTGCGAGAATATGAAGACAAAAAAAGAGAAAAAAAAGGTAAAAGAATACAACACTGTACTGCTCAGTGCGATCGAAAATGAAATGCGTGCGCGTAATCCAGGCCCACCGCCGCCGCGTGTGGCATTATATTATGGTCGAAAAATCGCGTGTGTGTCCGCAGTGCACGCGGGCAAATTCAATTAGAGAGTCGGGAGCGCGGGCGCGCCGCACACCGCTGCGGGCATGTCTCAATCCACCGCGCACAAGAACAGCACGCACTCACATCGAAAGGTTCGCGCTTCGTCGCAGCGGAGGGAGGTAACAATATAATAGGTAACTTTTATAGTTGCACTTGCTGCTGCGCTTGGACACAACGCAAAAAAAGGAAAAGTGAAATGAAATTGTCGCGAGTGGGCCAAGCTGGCATAAATACCTGTACATAATGTAGTGGGGCGCTACTGTGTGTGCTTTAATAAGAGAGGTAATGAATTGCGGTGAGCCGATTGATTGAAATTCTTTCATCTGTTGAGTGAGCCAAAACTGTAACTGGTTTTCCTTACGTATCAGGGATAGCGTTTTTTTTTTAGGAGAGATCGATTTTTTTAGACAAAAAAATAGTACAATAATGCGATATTATTGGATTGAATGAGAATTTCGACAAAAATGAAAGAAGTAAGATATGTATGGAGTTATTTTATTTACTCCCGCACCTCGCATAATGCACTCAAGCACCAGCTCGCACTGGATCTAGAGGAATTACGTAACAGTTTCACGTGGACTCATACTAATAAGCAGAAAAAAGTGTTTTTAATTGAAAAGAATTTATTAGATCGCGGAAAAATGCTTTCTCGATACACGCGCAGGTTCTCACTGTTACAGGTTACAGCTACCGCTGCGACTCCGTGTGTGTATGTATGAATGTATGTAATCGCGTGAATAAATAATAATATATCGACTGAAAATTAAATTCAAGATTTTTTGTTTACACTTGAACGCACCACGCACCGCGTTAAGCACGGGCAATTATAAAAATAACTTATGAGTCGATGACGTTTGGATATAATTTTGTAATACATATATCGGGCGCGAGCAGGAAGCACAATTTTTGGTATCGTATGTAGTATGTATGCGTGTGTGTGTGTGTGTGTGTGTGTGTGTGTGTGTGTGTGTGGAAGGTAAGGTGCATGTATGTCTAAACCGATACCACGTATTATATACAGGAATATAATGTAACCCGACGTATAAATTGTATAAATACTTTCGGGAAATTTTTAACAATTTTCTCAGTCAATTACCGCGTCAAAGGTGCGCGCGCGTGCGAGAAAAAAAGTGACGACTCGCATTACATATAGGAGGCTTTTAAACGCGATACGTTCGCGCCTTTTAAAGGCCTAATATGCCGCACACGTATTCGCAAACCAGGCAGACTTATGGTACATTATATACGCGTTGAATCTCTATACATGGGGTGTACGCGGCGGGTTTCACGCGAGCCGTCTAATTAGTTCGACGCTCGACACCATCAGCTTTTGTGTGTATATAGAAGTCCACTATCAATTGCGATAGGTACGTGTGTCTACGTGCGAAGGGTCTGCACACATTGGTGTGCAATCATGTGGCTACATACGAGATGAAACACTCTTAAAATTTTCAATACAACAATCGCTGTACGTATAAGTTAATGCGAGTCGAATATCTATAGACGCGAAGCTGTTCGGGCGCGCGCGGCAAATGATCGTTAATTACGAGCGCAGTCGCCTATGCAAGACTGAATCTCTCTCTACTTACTCTGAAAAAGGCGCATATATATAACATATAAACCCGAAGATAACTGGAATCAAGAAGAGAACGCGAATTCGACATTGCGTAAACTCAGACACGCGTGTGCGTGAGTGGCTCGATGACACTCGGGAGTGCAGGTGCATACATACGTTTTGACGATGATGGATGAGAAATAAATTGAACCTCGCGAATATCGGTGCGTATATGTATAATATGTAATGTATCATCGTGTAATCATCGCACGTGTGTTCACGCGTCGCGCGTGTTCATAACGCCTCTCGTCTTTTACATGAATCGAAAAGCGAAAGATCGTTTAAAGTCGCGCGTGTAATATAATTGGGTGTCCTGACAAATTGACGATCACGTTTGTAATGCGCGCGATCGGTTTCTTGCCGTATACACAGCCATCTCCCAGAGGTCTTATGACGCGAGAAAAAAATCCTACTATGTCCAGAGGTTTATATACGAACATCAATTTCATTTATTGTAACGCGGGCACTTTCCGCGCGACGAGATCGTAATGATGTGTGTATGAATTTTTCCGAGCACAAAAAGTTTCGATCTCGGTTAACGACCTCCAGCGAAAATGTTATCCAACGCAGCGCAGTGTTGTTGTGTCGCGTTGTCGTTTCATACGACGTCCATCATAATCGCCGATCTCGAGCTTTCATATGATATATAAGGCCTGGGCAGCGAAGAAGCGAGCTGGGTGACTTGTTGCTACCGTCGCTGTCCGGTTTGCCCGGCTACGAAAGAAAAGTGGGTGAGCGCATAGACACTTTTATACAGCTCTCGTTCGTATATTATTATACTTTTTTTACCTTCTCTACTCATATATCCGTCGCTTTTGAGTCGCGTGTGTGTGTGTGTGTGTGTGTGTGTGTGTGTGTGTGTGTGTGTGTGTGTGTCGTACACGTATCTGTACATACATCACACGCCTCGATTCTCCCCTTCGCCGTCCATATGCTTTTTTCGTCGACGTCGCTCGAGAGTGAGAGAAAGAAAAGTCGTAATTGCAAAAGACATCGTAAAAACAAACGATATAACAGTAAATGGCATGTCTGCGTGCAAAGGAGATCTATGTGTGTGTAAGTGTGTGCAGCGCGCACGACGTCGAAAGAAAAGTGAGAACTTTTTTCTCCTAATCATTGTCATCTAAGGCTGTGCGAGAGTAAAAGCGACGAAACACGTTCGAGAGGCAGCTGCCGCAACTCTCTGTGCTCCGTGTTTTAGTGTCGCAGATTTTGCGATCGTTCTGTATTACGAAATTTTCGCGTGGCAGAATCGATGACAACGACGACGACGACTTTGCGAAAGAAGATCAGCTCGAAAAATCCGATGCCCACGAGGAAATGGCTTACGGTTCGCGAAGAATAGAAAGCGTACCTCCGTTTGATTGTCATCTCGGTATGCTGTTAATTTTGTTTATTATCACGTTTTACGTAAGACGCGCGCACGCACGAACAATGAGTGCTCCACATGGATTTTATGAAGCACACACTACGTTCGGGTCTTTATTGGTTCATTGAGATAAGAGGACAAAAGGGGGAGGAGTTCGTTCGTAGTTTTATACGAGCTCATCAATTTCTTCAATTTCGCCGCTGAGATAAGCCATCGTGCTTTGTGCATACATGCATGCGCAAAATACATACACATAAATAGACCGAGGGCAGCAGCAGAGAGAGAAAAAAAAGTGCATTTGACCTGCATTACGAGAAAGCGAATCGACGTTCACTGCTGCGGCACACAACAGGTTGTACATATATTATGTATATCTATATATCGCGCTCTGCAGCGCGGCGTAGCTTGTATACACCTCACCTCGATATTATTGACACGAAAAGCCATTTTTTGGAGCTTGGGAAATAACAATTTACAAATTCGCCCGAGAGAGCTCGCGCGCGCACTGCAAAAGTTTTACTTTCTAACGAGTTTTTACGGTTTAGACTGTATAGCAGCTGCTGTAAGGCTCGTGAGAGAAAAAAATTGAGGAAAAATAGCGCCTGTACACGGCATAAATCTGCACGAAAAATGCCGACCACAGCAAGAGCGCATAGAAAGAGAGAGAGTTCAAGTCTTAAAACCAAACGATACGGTTATGACCTGGGTCAACGTATTTTCGGGTCCCGCGTGTAACTTGAGAAATGTGGCAATGCGTCGTTGAAAAAAGCTTTGGGGTACCGATCTTTAGCCAGCGAAATTTGATCTTTAAAAAATACACAAATATGAATTTTGTGTTTAAAAAACTCATTATATGCGAATCGGAAATTTTTTTATCGCTCGCGAATTTTCCATACTACATCTGTTGATGAAATCGAAAAGCAGAGATAAACATGAAACTTCGACTATGATCAATATTGTTACGATACAAACAAAATTTTCGAATTTTATTCTTTGCATTTTTCTACAAAAACACAATTGTTTTTGCAGATAAGAATTTAAGTTAAAAGTATTAATTTTCTCTGACTCTTACGTAGTACCTAATTCATTAAAAAATCGAGTTATATCTTTGCAGGGAAATTTACGGATTTATATTCCAGAATTCGTTCTGAAGCTTAGTGATAATCAAAAGTGTCACGTTTGATTATGAGTTTTTTGATTTGTTCAACAGATGGCGTATTGTAAATCCCATATAATTTTTCTGTTTCCGTCTGTCTTATTTACAAGTTCGGACTTATGC